ATATTTTTCAAGCTCGCCCGGTGTGGATATGCACTCAGTGTAACATCGCAAACATATTATTCACCTGAGTACACAACACCAACACAGAAAAAATTCGTATTACTAGAACACATCGGTATTGAAGGCACTAGATACTGTTCCGAAATATCACTTACTCGAACCGTCCTGACCGCGTAGCTCAGTTGGAAGAGCATTGGGCTATTATTCCAAAGGTTGTAGGTTCGAATCCCACCGTGGCCGGGCATATTTTTCAAGCTCGCCCGGTGTGGATATGCACTCAGTGTAACATCGCAAACATATTATTCACCTGAGTACACAACACCAACACAGAAAAAATTCGTATTACTAGAACACATCGGTATTGAAGAAACTAGATACTGTTCCGAAATATCACTTACTCGAACCGTCCTGACCGCGTAGCTCAGTTGGAAGAGCATTGGGCTAGTATTCCAAAGGTCGTAGGTTCGAATCCCACCGTGGCCGGGCATATTTTTCAAGCTCGCCTGGTGTGGATATGCACTCAGAGTAACATCGCAAACATATTATTCACCTGAGTACGCAACACCAACACAGAAAAAATTCAATAAATATTGTTCAAATGCCCCCACCATTTTGCAATAAATTGCAATAAATACTATATTAATAAAAGTCATTCGGTTCAAATTGTTCCAACTCGGAGCCAAAATGCTAATCAAAATCCCCAGGGTGGGGATGCAGTTGATGATCAAATACCCCACATATGCCCGACCCCCCCCCCCCTGGGGGGTAAACATTGATAGGTGCATAATTAAGTCCCCTTTCTGTAACCCGAGTATCAGGCTCTATTTTACAAATAATAGCCTCACACAAACCTTAATCCGATCGCTTTCCACCCACAGCAAAGTTTATATTTAGTGTCCAATCAAAATGTTGCAGGAGAAATTTAAATTTCACAACAACAACAACAATCTAATTATAGTTGTGATCACTATATATAAACATGGCCGCCCAGAGGGGGGGGGCAAAGGGGGCAAATTGCCCCCGGCCCCGAGTTGCTGGGGGCCCCTGAAAATTTTTTGTAGGGCCCCAGCCTTTTTTGTGTATTAAATATTTCTGCGCAAAGGACAAGATATCTGTTTTCTTGGGCTCAGTACCGAATTTTGGCATAAAAAGAGATAAAGTCCCTCGAAAGCATTTGCAACGTACTCGTCGGGCAAAATTTTGTACTCCGGAAAAAATTTTTTACCCCTAAAATGGTACGCTGACCGAAGATTTTTTGGGAGGGGGGGGAGGTTGTTATCCGGAAAAAAATTTTCCGGGAAAATTTTTTTTGATAGGGGCCCCTAAAAAAAATTTGCCCCGGGCCCCCGCCAACCTCTGGGCGGCCCTGTATATCAAATATATCGACAACAATAGTATAATTGAATTAGCACCAACCAATCAAATGACAGATTAAAAAATCTTTTGTCTCATAGACCAATCAGATTTACCACCGATATATGGTTGTACGGCATGGACTTTTGTTAACTAAAGGTTTGTATCAGGCCTATTTATTTATTTATAGGCCTGATCACAGGTTACCTTTTCTGAAGAAGGAAATTTAGTGTCCTAGGTAGCTTACAAACTTTTGTTGAAAACATGTTTAATTTCCCCTCCCTATGGGTAATGGGGCTAAAATGTTGGTGATTCTTAGACCTTTCCCCCAGGGCTCATCCTGTAAAGACCTTCCATTTTTCAGAATGGGCATTTCTAAGTGAAATATCGGCAGTTCAAAATTGAGTTTAGAGTTCTTAGAAAAATGTCAAATTGGCATGCCCAGAAAGAAACCAATTTTTACTCTTTTAATAGAACTGTAAAGAAAATATCAAAAGACAAGTCACATTGGTTTTTGTCAATTCCTACACAAATAACATTGATATGAAAAAAAATTAAACGCCATATGAGCTCATGCTAATAATGACAGCCGAAGGAGTGAGGAATTGTGTTACAACACAAAATGGCATTCTACAACCTGCTGCTGTTTCATATTTTATTAATAAATAAATAAATAATAAAGGAATTATTGAATTTGGTTTTTGCATGCATAGACGTATGGGGCAGGGGCAGCTGCCCCCCAGATTGTTGGGGTTATTATAAAAATAAATAGGAAAATTTGTTTTGTTGTCACCTGCCCTCTCGATCCCCCCCCCCCCCGTCAACAAAGTTAAAGTGTTATCAACCTCAGCTTTTGGCTTTGTTGATAACACAGTCAATTTGGATGCAATTGGTTTACAAATTTACTTCAGAAAATGCCAGAAATGCAGTTCTGGAGCTTTAAAAATATAGCAATTTTCTGGTGGACGACACCAGCTCCCTGTTTGTTCTAGAACTCAGTAATTATAAAAATAATCACTCAGAAAAAGGTGTATTATAACTATTACACTTCAGTGTATTCTAAACATTAAAATTTTAGGTACTAAAATTCCTTTGACCTTTGAAGTGCACCCTGAAGTCCTTATTTATAATTCTAGAATTCATAATTGAGCTTGTGTATAGTTGTGTCTTTAATGTGTAGATGTGAAAAATACATTGCAAGGTGCAACCCTCGGTGATGCTATTTAACACCTTTATGATAAATATAGGAAAATTATTGGAAATTTGCTAAAATTATGCTAATTTTTAGTTTGTTTCAACAACTGTTTTGTTGGAAAAAACTAGAAGATTTTATACTAGCCAGGTTTTTTCCTCACAACCAGAAAAAGTTAATTCACATCAATGGAAGAATTTACAACCTTGTTAAATAAATGAAAGCTTACCAAAAGATAGCTAGGTTTTGAAAATGCTCTTGAGCCCTGTGAACTTAATAAGCATTGGGAGATTACACAGTTACACTAGCACCTATACAGAAGGACATGGCAAGTATATGCCTGTCGAAGAGGCAATTGGGCAAGCTAGGATATATTTCGCCACAAATATTAAGTTTACCAAGATGCTCCGATGGGCCTTCAAATATATTGGTGGCCAATGCAGAACCTTCTAATTGGCAAAATAATAAGCACCATGTATGTCTGCATTATACATTTTGCACTATCCCTGGGGAAGTAAGATCTACTTCCTACAGTATTATAGGATTGATAGACTTCCTTCGAGTCGACTTGTCTGGAATTGTACAAGGTTAATTTAATAACATGGCTCACTGTATCAGTTTTATCAAAGACAAAGAGAACTTAATTAATTCATAATATGAACCAGACTTCATAGTATGGAGTGGGTATTGGGCCCTGCTGGACAGCCATGCTGCCCCATACAAGTAGCCCAATCACAGAATATTGATATAAAGATAATTTATTCAGTACAGTAGTATTACTGAGTTACAAGCAATTTTTATTAATTTCATGATTTAATGCATATACTGTATATACCTTGACATATAATTATGCAGAATCTGAATTTTGTACAAAACATTTCGGCACTATACCCCACACAACATTAAGGGAAGGGCCACTAGCTCAGTGAAAAACAATAAGGGGAGCAGGGGGGAATGGAGGGGGTCATACAATGTTCACTTTGGCCATGGCCCATAAGATTGGGTGTCTTTGCTTTTGTTTAAGTCTTTTTTTGGGCATTGTTAGCCCTGTTTTAATGAAGGAGTGTAAGCACAATTCTGCTGACTCATCTTATTTAAAACATTAATTAATATTTCTTTTCCAAAAATGTTGGCGAGCCGGGGTAGGAGGGGTTACGAAAAAATTTTTACAGCCATTTTCTCCCTTTCCTTTCTCATTAACCAACTGTCATTCGGTAATCTTTCCTTTATTTTTTTCGTAAATTTTCCAAATTGTTGCTATAAATATTTAGCTTTTATAGTCCGCTTGGCTCTGAAAACCATATGCATTTTTGGGTATAATCTTTGTAACTTTCAGGAAACATGCATTTGGTATTAAGAAACACTAAACAACCTGATACCAATTTTTCCCTTTAGGATCACGCCTGTCAGGGCTATTTTTAGATTTTCTTCTATTTGGCGGCCATCTTGGATTTCAAGATGGCCGCCATTCCTCAAATGTAGTCAAGAAAGCAATAGAAAATGGACAGATTTCACACATAAAAAGTTTATTTATATTACATAATTCATACAAAGGCAACCACTCAAAACAATTGTTCTCTCTTTCTTTCAACTGTCATTATTTACCTATTTAACAAGAGAATGAAGCTTGATAGTAACTACAGTTCACTACAGTACCCGTAATTGTTATTGAAAATAGTAGTACCACACTGTATTATAAGTGCAGTTATTCACACGTCTTATTAATTATAACAACTCAACATTATTTAATCAGGGCCTTTTTAACTTTTAATTAAAGGGTGACGGGTCCTCGTAGATTGGAGAATAATATATCAAAACTTAGCTGAGAATGCGGTCTCACCTCTTCAATCTCTTTGTGTTTGTGCCCTTGCTATGTGGTTTTAATCTTTGTTTGCAAATGTTTAAATTTCAAAAATTGTATTCCCCGGCCACCACAATGAAAATTTAAAAAGGCAATGAAATAAATTAACTACATTGATCATCTGTTGTATCTAAGATATCGCTGTTTATGTTTTGGCAAATATCTATGGCTGCTTCACATCTGCACAGCTCTGTGCAAACAAGACTGTTTAATTTGCACGAACATCTCCCGGAAGTGCACTTATTTACTGCACTCGGATTACTGGCACCATAGGTACATCTCACCAATTCGACAACCGCTGTTGGGACTGGAGGAATCTTGGATAACTGGGGAACAAGATGGTCATCTTCTTTTATCCAGCCGAACATAAGTGGGTCTATTGTCGTTGGACAGGCAATAAGATCTTGTTCCCATACCACACACTGACAATGCGCTCGCAAAATGTGCTCTTTCCACGCTCCATAGGTTGGTGGTAGTAGCTCAATACCTTTGTCAATTCTCTGTTGCTTGAACAAGGTCCATCGAAGACTGTGTGGGTTTGTGGCTTCAATACCTTTCTTACGAAAAAGACCACATAGAAATGATATGCAGCCTTCGATTATGTCTTCAGATGGCCCACTAACCCCACTTTCAATTCCAAGAGAGGAAATGGCCGAAACAATACTGGGTCTTTCCTTCAAAAATGCTTCCAAACATGCTTTCTTTGATTTTCCCCGAATGTAGCCTGTCGTATCACAGCCAGTTAAGGCATGCCATTTGCATAACGCCTTTGCTTTCTGTTCTCCAAGTGAATCATAAATCGGCTTCAATAACACTAGACAGCGTCGATCACCTGTGCCCATCAACAGTGCTGCTTGTTCACCAAGAAGAGGAACGCGTCTCAAAGCAAGAAGCAATACATCTGTGTCTTGACTGTATATATGAACAATGGACCCCGCTTTTGCTGCTTCCACTACATGTAAGATCATCAACGTATCTGCTTCTTCTTGAGTGCTAACACCAGGAGTGATATTGCCAGCTCTGTTTGACATAACCCCCTGATGTGTTGATGTAATGACGTGTACTTCAGCGTGATCTATTAACTTCCTCGCTAAAAAGAGTGTAAGATTTGCTTTCGTAGTAGTGCTTCCAAGAAATGATTTAACATTTTTTATTTTAGTAGCGTCTTCCACGACATATCCTTTTACAGGTGCTTTACTTCCCCTGCGTCGATCTTGTGTCGCTGCTTTAAGTGAAACCTCGGCGACGTAGTTGTCAAATATAACCCAAGTAATATCGTAGTTGTGACCTTTGGCATCTATGAGTGTTACATATGCAGCTGCTAATTCCTTACAATTCTTTAAAGGCTTTACTGCCATTATCTCCTGAACAACTGCCATACCGTCGACAACGAGACACGTACTGGTTGTGTTCTGGTTGTTCTCTTGTGAAGGAGATTCAGTTTCGCTGTTCGTTGAAGCTTGTGCTGGGAGATCCTCCAGAACTGCAATAATGCTACTCTTATTTAAGGTTGGGTGAACAGATCCATCAAGCTTCATCAACGTGTGGTTTGTAGTCGCAAACTCGTAGTTTCCAATGACTTCTTCCATGTCAACCTTGCGGGATGATCGTGCAATGATGAGCAGTCTGGACATAAGACCCGTGGTTGCGCGAAGAGTGATGACTTCTGATTTGGCTTGAAGTTTAATCTCTTTGCCTGAGGAATTCCATGATAGAGACTTGGACTTTGTCATTTTGTCCCATAGATTGGTTTCTCCGCTTACTCTTTCTTCAACAAATTTCTTCATCACAGATGACCCACAAGCTTCCATGCTTAAAATGCTTTCCTCGATAAGTTTCGGAATAATCTCCTTTGTCATGAGTTTGAACAAGTTTGTTTCTTCTGAAGTGAAAATGTTACACGGTGAAAGCACACAAGACAGATTTGCGATATCCTGTTCTTGGCGTACCACTGTAGTGTGATTCAGGCGGTGATGTTCAGTGTCGTTTTGCTTTGGCATCCCAACCATTGTCTCAGTCTCTTCAACAATGCGTGAAAGTTCAGGAGCGCACATACAGAACTTCAGGAGTGTGGCCGGATTCTGCATAATGCCACTTATGGTGCCCTGGCCTTTCAGATTTTTGTTGACGAGTTCCTGTGCATGATCTAGCCCAAGGCGGGTGAACAGAAGAAACCAATCTCCTTGGTGCGTAGCGCGTTGGAATTGAAGCAAAACAATGACTTGGCGCATGTACATCCGTGCCCATTGAAACATGGGATGTGCCTCATGTCTGGCGTCAAACTCAGCTAGTTGCTTGTCGATGTTGATAGATTCGAGTGTGGCAATCAGTGAAAAGTGAGCTGCACGAACGCCCTGCTTCAACACACATGCTTTGGAAACTTGCTCAATACAGGCTTCTAGGCTTGTTCGTACAGCAGGTCGCTCTGAAAAGAATGCTTCAATCCAAAGGTCGAACAGCACTTGGAGTGTGACTTTGTGAGCCTCCAATGCCCTTCTGTAGTGATTCCCATTGATAATCTGGTCCACGGTGACAGCACTGTACACTTCTGCTTCTACCCATGCCTCGTCGATACCGCTGCCTTCGATTGTTTTGCCAAGGCACCTTAGAGCGCAAACTGCTGTATGGAATGCTCCTGGATACACTACCCACTTATCTTTGTATTTGGAATCAAGATACTCCAACTTCAACACCCGCTTGTAGAGATCCATGTCAAATGTGACTATCAGCTTTCCATCATTCTTTGATACTAATCGGTTGACCATACACAGTTGATTTAGCGTGGTGACTAAGGTGGACCATTCATGAGCCGGGGCATTAATGATAGGCAGAGCATATGCTTTGTCAAGGATGATAGGTGATTCCTGTCCAGATTCTGGTGTATTTACAAGAGAGTTGTATGCTGACCACACTGGAACTCGTTGATCAAAAACTTGGGTGTCAATGGATTGGGATGATCGATTAAAGTATCTTGATATTATCCATGCAATGTCATTGACCAGAGTGTTGTCGAAGTGGTCAGCATGAAATCCCACTTTGTAAGAACTGTAACAAGGGCTAGTGCGTGGTTTAGGACTGCCTGCTATATTGCATTCATCGATCTTGATGCAGGTGCTGGGAATATCGCTAAGTGTGCCAGCAGAAACCTTCCAAAGATCAAGTTGTTCCACTGCACTCTTACCATTACAATTTGGCTGGAAAACACTGGATGCCATTGCATGGAAGCTATTCTTTCCATCATGAGTGTCTGCTTGCTTGTCAACATTATCTGCGGCAGCCCGTATTGCTCAACCTGTTACGATACCCGGTGGCAAGAAAACACCATTTATTTTGATGTTCTCCTGCACCGCATTAGCTATCTGACTGCAGACATGAGTAACTCTGCTGTATGATACACCTGCACCACATTTACTTAATAAATTTATTGCTTTTTGGCTCCGAAGGTTGTGGTACATCCAGAGCGATAGGCCAATTGCAAACGGGCTTTCGTATTGTCGACGAAACATCGATAATTCGGATTCTGACTTGGTTCATGCGTAACCTGTCATTTAGTCTTTAATTCTTGCATAATAATTTGCGAGATTATAGCACATGATTTACGTAAAACTAGATTTCTAGAATTGGTTGTAGCCACCTGAGATCCTTGCAAGATCCACCTGGTCATCATCATCAGTTCCACGGGTATACCACTCTCACTAGAACCATCAAGGTGTCCCGTAAAAGCCCATGGGCATTCTTTCCTTGCGTTAATAACCAGCCGCCTGATTACTTTGGCTGATTTAAATATTTGATGCAGCTTTTGTGGTATACTATGTCTCTGGCAAGGAAATCATCCTCGGCTAATATATCTGCTAACTGGACCTTCCATTTAGCATTGTCACTTTTATCTACAATATCTTTGATCAAATTTGCACTGTTTTTACTTTGGCAAGAATGGATTGCATCTCTAGCTGTCTCAGGATCACTTCTTTGACAAAAAAAGCAGGCATCACGATTAAAACTCTCTTTACCTGATCTGGTCAATCTACTAGAAACAGAATCTGAAGCTGAAGAAGGACGCCCTTTTCCCTTGAGGTTATTTTCGCTATTCATTTGGTACCTCTTCTTATCTCTTTCAAGCTTGTTTTTATCTGTTGTTTCACAATAGCAATTGCGATGCCATTGGGCTCCTAATTTTAGAAGTTCATTTGGTGACAGTCCTTTCAATCTTTGTGACACTCCAATATAATCAGGATTTCCAGTTTCAAATCTCTCATTAACATATCGTAGAAATGTTTCATATGTAGACACAACCATTGGTTTCGTCAGTTTTTCCTTTTTTATATGTTCTTGACATTTTATGCATAAATTATAATCGGTTGGCTTACTCTTAGCAAGTGGTTCTGCTGTTGACATCTTGAATGATGTGTACTTTGACTTGATTAACCACTGACCAGTTTGATCACTTAATCGATTATTTTCTCTCTTCGTTTTGTCATCGATAGTAGCAGATGACAGAAAATTAACGTAATAAACAATAAGATTGATGGGCATTTTACGTACTCTGTTAACATCAATGATCGTTCAACTTATTTACTCACTTGTTTCAGAAAACATGCAAATATATAGCGGCAAAAATCTAAAATTAGCCCTGACGGGCGTAATCCTAATGGGAAAAATTGGTATCAAGTTGTTTAGTGTTTCCTAATACCATATGCATGTTTCCTGAAAGTTACAAAGATTATACCCAAAAATGCATATGAAATTGAATTTGGGTGTATAAGCACATGGACTAGTGTTTACACTAGGTATTTTGAAGAAGGAACGTTCAGTGTGTCTACTGGAGCTAGCACAACCAAAAAAAGAACAGTTTTTCCCAGGCATACTCCAAACGTGTCATCTTGAAGTATGAATACCCTCTAATACTTGCGAACTGTAAAGTTTCCACTCGTATTGGGTAGACACCGCGCAAGAATAGAATATGATACAAACAGTATACATTTCTGTCAACACCTTGCACAGCGTGCTAATATCTCAAAACCAGTCCAAAGTATTATTTAAAGACGTGAATAGGATCAAATTATCCAAAATTTTAGGGTTTTAATCAAATATGGTCATTCAATAAAAAATATGTAACTTGATACAACACGAAAGGCTTGTCATCAATATATTTTCTATTACACTCCTCGCGAAGCATCCCACTATCTCGTCACGTGACACGAATAAAAAGAGAACAATAACATATTTGTCACGTGGTCTGGCTAGCCTAACCATCTCATTCTATTAACTGTGGTCAATTTTAAATCTAGTCCCAGCGACTTGTGGCAATCTGGTAAACATGACACCATGACATAACAAATGGCAAAGACTCAATTTTGTCCCTGTGACAAGTCCATAAAATAAAATCAATTTGGACAAAAATTAGTCCCTGTGACAAGGTTTTTGCATATGGCACAAATACCGACTTGTCGCTTCGTGTAACCAAACTTTAACCCATTAGCCGGCAATGCGCTCTACTTTAGTATTTACTCTGTCTAATGCCAAACAATTTTACTTGTCAGTGGTAGAGTACTTTAGTATTTTAACGCCAGATGATTTTACTTGTTAGTGGTAGAGTACCGCCAGTAAATGGGTTAACAAACCAATCTACTGGTCAATGTCTCTTATAAACCCATTAACTGTCAATGCGCCCTACTTTAGTATTTACTCTGGCTAATGCCAGACAATTTTACTCATCAGTGGTAGAGTACTGCAAGTAAATGGGTTAAATTATTGGATGGTATTAAGTTTATTATTTTGTGCATATGTCATCTACACCATCCCCAGAGGGGGAAATTGGATTCCCTGTTACAGTATAGTTTAACTGCACTCCTGCTACAGTATTTAAGGTTTTGCTGTTCAGGATGACAACGCAGTAAAACATTTACTCGCACTGTAAAATTTCAGGAAGGTTCTTTCTGTTCACCCACCAAAAAACTGGAATTGAGATAAAATTTCTGGAACTGCACAGCTCATAGAATATAAACAGGTGGTAATTATGGTACCATGAATTGTCAGGTTGTATTGTGCAAATTTTCAATCGGTGGATCTGGATGTATTAGAGTCATTCCATGACACATCAATGCAATAACACAATTATATATAGCAGATGAGAATTGCCTGATTACAGTACATGTATTAAAACATACATAACTGATAATAATAAAATAATGCATTCGCAGTAGTGTTTTCCTTGGGTATATATCTTATTAGGAGCCTTTTCAACTTAGTTGCAAATTAGTTCTAGTGTACTGTTTTTACGTGCCAAAAAGGTCTTGCTGCCAGTTTACTGTGAAACTTGCAAATTGAGTTTTACATATAAGTACATTTAAAGATCTCATAAATGGTCACTCCAAATCAACCCTACAGCATAACAATTTTGCCTGTACAGTTTTACTCAACAATGTGTGCTTATACAGGGTATCTAAAAATATGCTATGGAAATTCATGTATCGTGCATCATAAACGTGACTAAACAATTCAATTTTTACATGGGACAAAAGAACAGTTACTTAGCTTTTGAATGATACTCCTTTAAAATTGTAACAATGAGAAATGACCACATACTCATCAAATAAACATTGCCGGTCGAAATCACATTCTTCCGCCATTGGGAATTGCATGGAAAACAAAACATAAACAATTTCCAAGAGGGAATTAAAATTGAATGTTAAATTATCTAAAATAAGCTCAACTTGTCAATCTTCGTCTTAGTGAGACCATAAGAACGTCCATTATTGCATTAAACATGGTTCAATTAACCCCTGAACAGTGAACATTCATAATCAAAAGTTTTACGAAACAAGTACCTTGCAGCAGACTCGCGGTGCTTTTGGATTGATTAACTTGCATAATTATTGTATTTTCAATTCCCAACGATGGAAGAATGTGATTTCGACCGAAAACTTTTATTTGACGAGTATATGGCCATTTCTCATCTTTACGGTTTAGGAAATATATCATAGAAAAGCTAAATAACAGCTCTTTTATTAAGTTTGTGATGCACAACAGCCTGTTGAATTTCCATAGCGTTTCTTTTTTAGATACCCTGTATAATGTACAACATTGTAAATATATTTTACGTCATAATTAATTATATTGTCAAATGGTGTTCGACCCCAAATTGCCTTTTAATTATATTACCAGTACTCAATTGAAAGTGACTTCTTGGCCAATAAACACAGCTTGCTGTTTCTCACCACAGCAAGCTCACAGGTACAGCCTACAGGTATAATCTCCTAAAATTTAAAGTGGCCATGCATGGTAATTTAGCGAGATATGATGTCTGGAAAATAAATAAGAATACCATTAGGTGTCACGAAAAGTAAATCGCTCTATCCTAGGCCTCAGAATATATGATTATTAGGAATTAAAAAATAAAATATTAACTTGAACATCTTCACTGGATTTTTTTGTCAAAGGCAAGTTTTCTTTTTGCTAAGTCATTTGCAGCGTTGCTGGATGAATTATGCAGTTTTCACAACAAAAGTAAGAGTTTAAATACTAGATACATTATTTGCAAAACTAATTAGTTGCCTGATGTTAGTTCACCAAACATTAACCAGACTATATTTACCCTATAATAATTTATACTGTATAATTATTAAAAATTAAATGAAAACTTTATTTACCTATGCTAACCTGTCAACCGAAGCTGATTTCCACATATTGAAACCTACGAATTGAAACCATTTTACTTTGATTTCAGTTTTCTTCTGACTCTTCAAGTGATCCTGATCAGGATGATGAACAGAGAGACTCCAAAGATGAATGCTGGTCTGACATACCAGAAGATGTTCTCAACCGTGACATATTGTCTCCTCCAGCGGCTGGGGGAGATATTGTCTCCTCCAGCGGCTGGGGGAGATGGATATGCCCCCAGATATGGGGCATCTACACTGCTGAACAATGGAAAAATTGGACCTTGGTATACTCCTTATATGCACTGAAAGACATTCTAGGTGATGAACATCTAAATTGCTGGCAAGCATTTGTATTGGTATGTGAATACATTTGCAAACCAGTGCTTAGAGAGGAAGACATAACTAAAGCAGATTTAATGCTGCTCATTGCAGAAAGTTTCAAACTATATGGCAACTTGGCAAAAACTCCAAATATGCATCTGTACTGTCACGTGGTGTTTTAGTTTTGAACGGTATAATGGTACTGTTAGAAGCATTACGACAAACAATAGGTCAGTAGAGTTACAACTTATGCGAAAGATAACCATCGCGAGGCTGCTTGGTGGCATTCAGTTGGCTCAAGAGTTCAACCCTTATTTTGGTGATATTCTATCATCATTAGAAAATTCTGTAGATGTTAGCTGCTGTGAAGGTCAAACCACAACATTTTCAAATCTGCTAGAGTACTTACAAATGGATAAGAAAATGCCTCTTCATACCATCAACTGGAGTAACTTGTCCACATTGTCTCTACCAACCGATTACAAGGAGAGTGTTCTCGAAGACGAAGATACTCTTGCTCTTCTGCAGGGTCTACAAGGTCATGTTTGGCACAGATTTTAACATTGTTCAAGACCAACTAAGCAAGAACATAAAGAAATATGGAGCAGTTATGGTATACCAGTACCAATTTGGTTCAAAAATGTCATATAGAAGTAAAAGATGAACAGGAATCATTGCTTCTTGGCCCAGTATGGATGGCAGCATCAACCAAGCAACCATTGGGAAGGATGCTTGTGATGTTACTCTGAGTGTATATCCACACCGGGCAAGCTTGAAAAATATGCCTGACCACGGTGGGAATCTAACCTACAACCTTTGGAATACTAGCCCAATGCTCTACCGACCGAGCTACTAGTGTTCCAAAGGTCGTAGGTTCGATTCCCACTGTGGTCAGGCATATTTTTCAAGCTTGCCCGGTGTGGATATACACTCAGAGTAACATCACAAGCATCTTATTCACCTGAGTACATTGCACCAACACAGAAAATATCATTGGGAAGGAGTTTGGTATAGTTGACTTTTACTTTTCACACTCAGTCATGGTGGATGGAGTGTGCCAGAAGTATGTTTTTGTGTGCAATACCTGGTATGTTGCCACAATGGCTGGTACATTTGCCGGCAGGGACGCCGGAACTGGGGGGCAGGAGGGGCAGCTGCCCCCATTGCCCTTTACCAGGAGGGGCAAAGGGGGCAAAGGTGCCCTTTCAATTTAAAGGATTGCCTTGGCGAAATAGCGAATTGTCAGAAATGTTAGTGCGATTCTTTTACGAATTTGCTTCAGAAAACGCAAGAAATGCCGTCATCGAGCTTCAAGAATAGCACAATCGCCTGGCGGAGAATCCCTTCACACCCCTATCATCCAATAAATAGAAAACATGATTGGGCGAAGTTCAACTCCCGATGTTTTGCAAACATCTCTTAGTATATATCAATTCAAAAGCCCTTTCATGAAAATCTGCCCCCCCCCCTTGCCTTCACCTCGTTCCAGCGTCCCTGTTTGCTGGTCTAAATCCTCTCCATTTTGTAAACAAGAGCTAGCAGTTCCCAGGAGGAACCTCGAGGTTCTTACCTATTCAATGCATTTCAACAAAGTGTGCATTTGCTGTCACATTATCTCAAGGTCAAACCAATTATGTGGTAAGCCCTTTGTTGAGACTTATAGGTAATAATTACTGTAGCTACTGTAGACCAGAAAACTTTAACTTTGTTCCCCAAAGTAGGTTTAGATAATGCATATCATAAAAATATTTATTGTTCGTACAAAATTTTTATTGTTCTGGGGCCGGTTGTACGAAGTCTGTTCAGTACAAGTCTACAGTATATAGCTTCATCAAACAACAAAACTAAAAGTTTTGAACCTTAATAGATGATAATGCTTACAACTATACATATTTAGTGCATAATATTGAAGTTAACCTGATTCACAAGAGATATAAGAGTGTTATTTAATTTTAACTTATACACTGTTTAAGCTAAACAGGCTTCGTACAGCCAGCCCCAGGAAACCGACTAGAATGTGCAATTCTGCCTTAGGTTTAGTTTACAATTATACAAGCACTTATTAAGTGCTCATATAATTGTAAACTAAAAATACAAAATGCCCTACTTTAGACTTTTACTCTGTGTAAGCTACAACAATTTACTCAGTCTAATGCGGGACAATTTTACTTATCCAGGAAAATGTTTTGAATGCGATAATAAAATTATATTCTAAATTGCAAATGTGTCCTGTTAATGGTTAATGATAGGCCTATTTAGATATAAAAACTGACAGCATACATTCAGTAGCTTGATCTTTTAAAATTCAGCAAGATATTACTCATAAGTCATAACAAAGTTGCAAACATTTTCTTGAAACCTGTTTTGATGCGACTTGTTTCCAGGTCCCGATTGCAAACAAGGCATTATGTATAGTGCATATTGTATTGTATTGTAGAATATACATAGCATAATTTGATAAAACACTTTTCTAGGCATGCTAAAGTACATGTACTTTAAGTACTGTATACATGATGTGCATGATAGTGTGACTAGTTTCCAGGTCCTGAGTGCAAACAAGGCATTATGCATAGCATGTATAGAATAACTTGGGTTCAGCTTTCCTCAATGTGATAACAGAATGATGTGCTATTATTAGTACTGCAATGTTTTCTCAATGAAAAAACAAGATACATACCATGACAGTGGACACAGAAAAATAAAACAATCACAGTAACTCCGAAAATAAATATTTTAATAACTTTACTTTTTGACTTAGTTTTAGTCATCGATCATCTGGAATGATGATGACTGAAACTAAATCGAAAGGTGGAATTATTAAAATGTTTATTTCCAGAGTTACCATTGTTTTATACAGTCTGTGGTAACCTGCCACAGAGGGGATGCATGGAGTGGGTGCATGCATTATTTTAAGTGGATACATGCGTACAAGCACTCAAATCTGGATTACAAGTTGGCTTTGCATGTTATTTCATAATTTATATACAGTAATGTATAATTATGATGCCTGTGATGTTACTCTGAGTGTATATCCACACCGGAAAAGCTTGACCATGGTGGGAATCGAACCTACGACTTTTGGAATACTAGCCCAATGCTCTGCCAACTGAGCTACGCGGTCTGGTCGGTTCGATTATGTGATATTTCGGAACCAGAATCTAGTTCCTTCGATATCAATGTTATCTAATAATAATCATCATTTTTCTGTGTTGGTGTAATGTACTCAGGTGAATATGATGCCTGAGATGTTACTCTGAGTGTATATCCACACCGGGCAAGCTTGAAAAATATGCCTGACCATGGTGGGAATCAAAACATTGATATCGAAGGAACTAGATTCTGGTTCCGAAATATCACATACTCGAACCGACCGGACCACGTAGCTCAGTTGGCAGAGCATTGGGCTAGTATTCCAAAGGTCATAGGTTCGATTCCCACCGTGGTCAGGCATATTTTTCAAGCTTGCCTGGTGTGGATATACACTCAGAGTAACATCACAGGCATCATATTCACCTGAGTACATTACACCAACACAGAAAAATGATGTATAATTATTTATAATATAGCATTTGTAAATTCTTAACGCTGATTGGCTAAGAGCCGTGTTGATATAACTCAATGTCAACATCCGAAAATGTATGTTTCTTTTTGCTATATTATAAAATAAATATAAAACATTTTTTCAGTATTGATATACAGTTATTTCAACACGAGTGGAAATTGGGAAAACAAGAAATTGTGTGGAAACACGATGCCCGTGTTTTCACACAATTTCCAGTTTTCCCAATTTCCATGAGTAAACACGGAAAATGTTTTATATTTGTTAAATACAATATACTTTCTGAATATTTTGCTCCAGAGGGTAACATGATTAAATAAATGATGGATTGATTTGCAATGCATGTAAGTGGAAAAGAGCCTTTACTTGAATAGGTTACAATAAATAAATTTCGGCAAATGATGTTGCCTTGTACACTATATCCAGAATTTTCCTAATTAGCATAATGAGTTTATTTGTGAAATTAAATTGTCAATTGATGCATTGCACAGCAATTTTTCTTAATTCTTTGTAACAATTGTAGTGGCAAACTAGGGAGATTACTTGACCAAGAGAATAAATATCACTTGCAGCCAACTGAGTTTGTTTTCCACAGACAATGTCTGGGGCAATGTGGTTATATTTCCCATATCTCTCTTGCTCTTTCAGACTTAACTTGTAGACCTTAGCCTTACTTGACTCTTTTATTTTCCCAAAATCGATTATAAAAGCTGAATACTGTTCTTCACAGTCACTATAACCATGCCATATGACTATGTTGTCACCTTGATGTCACAATGAATATAATTCTTGTTATGTATGTGGGCAAGTGCATTGCAGCATTGTGTGAGTATGTTAGCCCACTCTGATAAAGTCGCAAATACCTTCTTCTTGGAGGCTTTAGCAAGTGTTAGCGTCCGCTAATTCCGTAGAACTCCAGCACAACAAAATAAGATTTACAGGTAGTATTCACACCAAATACAAATGGCAAGCCTTAATATAAAATTAAAGAAAACAAATTTAAAACTGTGGTGATCTAACTGAACTTTTTCCTAGAAATTGTTATTTATCTTACTTTTTCGTTAGAGATGAAAATATATTGCCAGTTTATATACCGTAGTACAGTGTTTCAGTAAGTTATTCCACAGCAGGGCGGATCCCAGCTCCTGAGCTGACTGATGCATACATAAGACCTCACATTTGTAGGGGGGTCCAGGGGTATCCTCCCCCGGGAACTCTTTTCTTCCAATTCATATATCAGAGTCGCAAAAATTTTGCTGCATTTTTGGAAAAACATGTAAAAAACTTGAACCTATATCGCAAAAACAACATAATTTCTCCATATAAGAAAAAAAAATTGCTTGTACAAGTGTGATAGCTGCAGTGGCAATAAGTCTCTATTAAAAATAGTCAGTGCTGTGCTTCTTGTAGCCTTAACTTTTCTATTGAAAAACATTTCGGCAGAAAATCACGACAATGCAAACACACACATACTGTGTAACAAAGGTGTATACAGTGTGCTCCACTAGTTGCATTGCTGGACTCAGAAGGCAGTGTTATTATGTTGTTTATGAACCACTTTCCCCTATTAATTTCCAATGATCCATGAGTAAAATCTTCTAGCATTAGAACTTAAAGTAAAATAAAATATGATGCATAAAGGTATTTTGTGCTTTAGTGGGTAACTAGAAATACATGCATGCAATAACCCCTCGCCTGTTTTCAAAAGATGTATACTCAGTGCCGTTGCGAGCACTTCGTCTCAGGGTGTGTGTGAGGTTAGATAGAGGAGGGGTGGGGGGGGGTGGTTACCAAAATGTTTCCAGATGTACAAAAAATTTTCAGAACATATAATAATTTTTCCGAAAATACAGTTGTTTTCCAAATTCACTTTCTCATGTCCAGAGAATTACCTGATTTCCCCTGAAAATCTTCTGCAAATCTACTTAAATTTACCTAAAAGTGCACTGGAAATCTACCTGAAATTCCTCATGAGCAATTATCAGGGGTGTTGCACCCCCCC